GTATATATATGTATATATATATATGTATATATGTATATATATATGTATATATGTATATATGTATACGTATATATATATGTATATATATATATATATGTATATATGTATACGTATATATACATATGTATATATATATATATGTATATATATATATATCTATATATATATATGTATATATGCATGTAGCCATGCCCTTTACATTTATATATAAAGGGCATGGCTACACAAGGAATAGCTTTGGTGCTCCCTTCTTTAAGGCTCGCCACAGTGAACTAACACATGAATCTCTAACTAGAATAATCACTGTGAAAAATCACATCATGTTGCTGCTGATCTGTTTCATGTTGATGTGTTCATGCGTTCTCATCTGCTCACACAGACTCATGTTCGTGCTGATGTTCAACGTAATGTTTTTATGCTGTTAGTGCCTAGTGTATTAATTAATTGATGTTTTTCTTAGTTCATGTCTTGGATGTTATTATTGTTTTTCTTTTACATTTTATTGTTGGATATAACTGGGACACTGTGTACATAATCTCGTTCCACCACATGTACCACATGAGATGCGAATGACAAATAAATGTCTCTGACTCTGACTTGGCAATTGGTTGTATGCGGTTGTCCTTCCTGACACAACCACAGACCACCGAGTTACTAAATTACTTTGTGTTGTGCAGTTTTATTTCAAAAGATATGGCAACAGGAACAGTTCATCTGTGGTGAAATAGAGACATTTATTTCCTTAATCCAAACAAAAACCTTCACTAATTGTCATAAAACAAATAATACATGGCCTGTAGTCCATATATAGTTTTTCTACAGAGAATCAGCTGCTGAGTCTGTTTCTGGCTCTTTTGAAGGTCAGTTACAGTAAAAACAACAAATCTAAACCAGTACATGGGTCACACCATGTCTACCTTACATGAAAGAACCCAAACATAATGTAGTGAAGCAGGGGCACAGCTTTTCTGTTGATTCACCACTAATTAATTATTCTTAAAGCTAGTTCAAGCACAAATAATATTAATTATTTAAATGCAACAGATTCTTTCTTTTTCGAGTTAAATTAATGCCATGTGCACGAGATAACTGTGAGGATTGTTTAATCAGTGACATGAGACGCCATTTTTCTTTGACCCATCAGAATAAATGCGGTCATTTATTTAACAGAATCAAAATTTAACATCAAAACATGTACACATTGATTTGTTGACCTGGTTCTGATTAATAAAACTTGGCACGCTTTACTAACGAGACAACAGAACGTTTCTTAAGGCATCTAGATTGATTTACTGGCAAAGAGGTTTACAAGAGGAGAGATTTAGAGGTTTAAAGAGGAGGATTTAGATAGATGAAGGAAAGTGCAGGTTTGTTGACCAGAATTAGCACGCTTCTTTCAACACCAGCTCAAACCCCCGGTCCACTTAGTGCGCGACACACGTGACGTCTATTTACCTTTGCAGATGAGGATCAGCTCCGGTATAGATGTCCCTATGCACGCTACCTTTCCAGCGTCTCCGGTCAGGGTGGCTGGGCATCGTCAGAAGTCGTGACGATTTACTCCATTCAACAGAACCAGCTTCCTTCGAAGTTGTAGGGCGTTACGCCCGGGTGAGTTCACAGCGAGGCGCTGTGACTCCAGCTGGGATGGACGGACCCTCGTCTCACGGTCAAATCCATCAGCTATTGATTGAATCTGAAAGTTCCTTAGTAACTCTCAGGAAGACTCCATAGACCCTAGGAAGACTCCGGTCAAAGACTGAAGAAGACTGAAGACTCGAGAAGACTTTAGAAGACTTAATAGTTCCAAGAAGTGTTGACTTTTAAAAGAGTACTCACTTCCGGTCACTTAGTACTTCCTGATTGGTTGAAACAACCAACAGGGGGGTGTTTCAGTGATGTCAGAGGGTTATTAAAAGTCAAGAGAGGATGCAGGAATGTTTAGGAACGATTAGTACAGACAGAGAAAGGTTTTGAAGAAGTGAGAGGAAGCAGGTGCCAGTTGCTTCTTATTTACCGTCTGCTTGGTTTAAAAACAAGACACTTCGTTCTAGTAACTCGTTTTCTGACTGTCTCTGACTGGGTGAAGCATGATGTCTTACATCTTCCCAGACTTCAGAGCATCATTTACAGACTGGACCATTGCAGGTCTGGTGTTCCACCTCATCTCTCCACAGCTGGACCAGTCCAGAGCCTTGTGGAACCTAAAAGTGACAGAAGACGTGCACGAGTCAAAATAGGGTTACTGTGACTACAAATTACAATTTGTTGACCTTTCTTTTGGAAATAAATAATTTATCAACAACAAGAGATTTACAATTTAAATTAAGTCAAGAAAATGTGACATTTGCAATTATAAATTACAGTAGCTCAATTTTTCTTTATTTATTTCACTTGTCATATTTTATAATTATTTAAACAGCCTCACCAGGCAGAAATTAACCTAAAAACCCACATAACAAAGCAGAGCATAATTTTTAAATTAAAAGGAACAAGGTGGAGAAAAATGTGCTGTTTGAGTTTATTTACTGACGGTAAACAAAGCAGCTCCTCACAGCTGAGACTAAAGTTTAAAGCAGCACAGCACCAACACAACTCGCATGATCAAGTTCAGGGTTATTTGACACTTTCCTGCCCGTTCTGTGAGTTTAA